TTCCTGGGTCTTCCTTCTTGCCCTTTTCATTTGAAGACTGGAGTGACACTGGCTTTCCTCCAGTCCTCAGGCACCTCTCCTGTTTGCCACGATCTAGAAAACAGATGGAGAGTGGTAGAGTGACATCAGCCAGTTCTCTCAATACTCCTGGGTGCATCTCCTCAGGGCCCATGGATTTATGGATATTCAATTTCCTTCACTCATAGGGCCCATGGATTTATGGATATTCAATTTCCTTAACTCATCACTAACCCAGTCTCCACTGACTAGCAGAGAGTCTTCCCTCCTCCAGGCTTTCTCCCCTACATCCAGGGTCTGGAGTTCACAAGGGCTGGGCCTCAGGATTAAAGACCAAAGCAAAGAAGGCATGAGTAGCTCTGCCCTCCTCTGCAGCCTCAGTGATCAGGGCTGCACCTTGTTAAGCAGTGGGCCCCCACTTCCCCGGTTGTTCCTTTTACTGCTGATATATTTGAAGAAGCCCTTTTTGTTCTCTTTTACTTCCTTTGCTAGTTTTAGTTCTAAGAGGGCTTTAGCCTTTCTTATTGCCTTCCTACATGTCCTGACTATCTCCCTGTATTTCTCCCAAGTGACAAGTCCCTTCTTACATGAGCTATACACTTCTTTCTTGAAATTTCCTTCAGAAGCTCCCTGCTTATCCATACAGGTCTCTTAACTCGTCTACCCGAGTTTTTACTCAAGGAAACGCAGTTATCTTGGGCTCGGAGAAAGTGGTATTTAAACACTGACCATCTTCCCTGGGCTCCTTTACCCTCCAGAATCTTAGCCCATAGGATTCCTGCAAGCAAATCTTTGAAGAGTGCAAAGTTAGCCCTGCAGAAGTCCAGGGTTGTAATCCTACTTATTGCCCTGCTTCTACCTTGTAAAATACTAAACTCCACCATGTCATGGTCACTGTTGCCAAGGCTGTTCCCAGCCTTGATGTCCCAAACCAGTCCTCCTTTATTCATTAATACAAGGTCCAGCAGTGCACCTCTCCTCGTTGGTTCCTCCACTAGCTGCATTAAGAAATTATCATTGATGCACTGCAAGAGCCTTTTTGACTGAATATGCCTAGCTGTGTTGGCTTCCCAACAAATATCAGAGTGATTGAAGTCACCCAGGAATACCAAGAAGTGTGTTCTAGATGTTCCCTCCAGTTGTCTGTAGAAGGCCTCATCAACATCTTCTCGGCTTGGTGATCTGTAGTAGACTCCCACAACAGTTTCATTCCCCTTTGCATGTCCTTTAATTCTTACCCACAAGCTTTCAACCTGTTCTTCCTCCCCCCCGGATAGAACTCAATACATTTCAGTTGCTCTCACACATAAAGAGCAACAGCACTGCCTCGCCTTATTGGTCTGTCTTTCCTAAATAGTGTGTAGCCATCCATGACAACATTCCAGTCGTGGGAGCTGTCCCACCGTGTTTCATTGACTGTAATTACATCATAGTCATCCGACCTAGTGCAGACCTCCAGCTCCTCCTGCTTGTTCCCCATACTCCATGCATTGGTATACAAGCATTTCAGGGAGAGAGTTAACCCACCAGTTTTCAGTCTTGCTATCTGACCATTCCCGGACACTCCCGTGGTTACTAACTTGTTAGTGAGCCCTGTGTTATCATCGTCCACCTTGAGTAGGACAGTAGACTGAAGGCTGTCCTTGGGTACATCTCTTGTGAACCTGATTTATCCCCTTCCCCCTTGGAAGATAATTTAAAGCCCTGTCTGAAGCATGCCAACTCCTGTGTGAGGATCCTTTTTCCCCTTGGAGACAGGTGTGCTCCATCTGTTGCCAGCATATGGGATTGGTCCTTTAGAAAAATCCTATCTCAGGAATGAAAACCAATCTGTGAAAACTTCTCATGCTTTCTTCAGCTTTGCTTTGGTTATGAGACAAAAAAAATTATGAAGGATTGGTCTATGAAACAATGTAGGATAGTTTCAAGTCCTACCTGCATTTCAGGAAAGAGAAAATATTTTAGAGAAATTATGTTTATAAAGAGACTGCTTAAAGAGTTTACAATTCATAAATACATACCTGTGTTCATGAGTATGCATGAAGCTCTATGTGCTATATGAATCTGCTCTTGCTGTTCCTAACACTTAAGACTTAGAAAGAAACAGTAAACCAAGTAGATTGAAAACCTCTGATCATCCTGTAAAACCATGAGGATAATGGTAGATTGATGTTTTTCTTTTTCGAGATGTATATTTTTTAAGCATAGAATTTTTTTAAATTTTGTATATAGAAGCCAGAATACTTGAAGGATCTTCTACTGCTTTATGCACATAAAATTAGACTGTCCACTCAAGCTAGCTTGTTGCATCTTTTCCTTGCTTATGGTACTTTTTATGTTCTCCGTTTGTGACCTCACTTAAATTACTATTAGCACATATCCTTTTTTTTTCATTCTTGCATTCACATTTTACCATTTAATTAGAAGTCTATTTCTCTGTTTTATGCTGTCTTTGCATTTCAAGGCAATATTTTTTCCTTTACTTATAATAATTGTCCCTGCCCCTAGCCATGTTTTCTTTCAGTAGTAGACTCTTGCTTTCCTTGAAGGGTATTTGAAAAAAAAAAAAAAAAAAACCAAAAAACTCAGTACTGGAGCACTCAGCTAGATGCTATGTAAAGAGGTGTAGCCTGATTTCTGTAGGAAATTCAAGAGTAAATTTCAAGGACAGGTGCATGTCCGACAAATTATTTCCTCTTTTTTTTTTTTTTTATTCCAGTTGTGTGTTAAAATATCATCTAACTGTGTATCTTTATCTGTCTCTTTTAATCATTTTCAGGATTCAAAAATTTCTTCCATGGAGCGTGGCCTCCGGGATTTGGAAGAGGAGATTCAGATGTTGAAGTCAAACGGAGCTCTGAGTACAGAGGAACGTGAGGAGGAAATGAAGCAAATGGAGGTGTACCGTAGTCATTCCAAATTCATGAAAAATAAGGTACTGAGAAAACAAACTACAGTGGTAACATAAACTGAGCTTAGTGAACAGATGAGAGAGATTTCATACTTCAGTAAGTAGTTACAGTTTGGGTTCCCATTCAAGTGCTGGGAAACAGAATTTATTTCTATTCTTCCATGAAGCCGCTAAAATAACTTTAAAATATTTAAGAGGATTTTAGGTTCAGATTTGAAAAATACCATAATGGTGATTTAGTAAGGTCAAAGGCCCAAATTCTGCTTTTATTGTCACACCTGACGGTCTTGTATTTCAGAAGGATTTTGTGTTTATCTTTAGACTGTTGGTAATTCAGTGTAGTTGTAGGTTTCATTTGATATAGAATCTTTTCAAATGTAGTCTATTGAAAAAAGTGTTGTCTTTTTGCAATGTTTGTACTATAACTAGTAGGTCTTTTTATTATGTAAATGGTGAAAAGAGCACGAACTTTCACTATAATGGCTTTCTAGTACACTGTTCTTCCAGTACTGGAGTCAGAATGAGAGTAGCCTCTACAACAGTGATGATGCCAACATTAATTTATGCAGTTGGGAATACAGGACAAATACAGCAGTGGGACATATTGATCCTCAGGTATAAAGATGGACACTGACTACTGAATTGTCTGAAGCCAAAAGTCAATTTGTTTGTTTCTTCCAAAGAAATGTTTCTCAGACTTTTAGTGGGCCCTAATATTTTCTAATGAAGATTCAGGTCACCTTGTACAGTAAATTTAAGTATGTTGTAAACAGTCCTGCTTTTTTAGCTAGCTTTCAAGTACTCCTGGCAAGCAGTGTACAAGTCCCTGGAATAGAGGCTGAAAATTTCTAGGTGATAAACAATTGTAACCTACTGCATTTGTCTGCTTGAAATTATTTCTAAAAAAAAAAAAAAAAGAATGCTGGAGAAAGTTTCTTAGAGAAGCGTTAATTGCCCTGAAGTAAAAATGTGTCATAATTGTGTTTCTTCCACCTCCCTCACACCAGCTCACTGATTTACTGATTTGCCTCCAGATAACCACATCTGTTCTTTTATGCTTTTGTCCTTTATCCCACTGAGTTGCTTCTAGGAATTGAAGGATACCTCCTTCAGATTTGGAATGGAGAGACTGTTTTAGCATCTCTTCCTTCCATCATTTCTTCTTTCCTCCTTCTTTCTTTCTTACCTTGTTATCAACTCTCCAGTTTCCCCTTCTCTTCCTCTGTGACCCTGTAGATGGGTTCAGCTACTGAATTTCTGAATCTCTTCTGACTATTGTGTCTGCTCATTTGTTTTCCTGCAGTGAGTTTGCTTCATTTAGTCATACAGCTATTCACTCATGACTTGTAGTCAGCTCCAATATTGTTATCTTGCTGTCCTACCTTGTTTTGTAGTTGCACAATATTTTTGTTTGGGTTTTTTTTCAGTATTGTATTGTATAGTAATCTGTGGCTGTATCTTGATAAGTTTATTTTCTTAAAGTGTAAAATGTCCCTTTTCCTGACCTAATTTCCTCATGAATTCCAATTTCAAAACTGTTGAGTGAACAGTGAACATTTTTAACATATATAAACATAACTGTACATCTTTGTTTCATAATGAAATTCTTGTCTGGCAGCCTGTGTGAAATTACAGAGACAAACTTTGGCGAAGACTTAATGAAGAATAGAAGAGAAAATGAATGACCAGTGTTGATCCTTCTGTTCAGTTCTTTGTCACTTTTAGTTACTTGAATTGAAACAGGCTGACTAGAAGCTGGTAAATATTTAAAAGCATAACAATGTCGTGACAGGTAGAGCAACTGAAGGAAGAGCTAAGTGCCAAAGAGGCTCAAGGGGAGGACCTGAAAAAAAGAGTGGCTGGTCTCCAAGCCGAGGTCTCTGCAGTAAGATTTATCTTTTGTGTGCAGTGGCCATTCTCTGGGGCTTGCTAGCTCTCTGGCTTTCCAGATAGTTTTTCTTCTCTTACCTTCTTCAAGACTGGATATAACAATAGAACTAACAGCCTGCTCAGCCTTTTTGTTCACATAGTTTTGGTGTCCGTAACATCACTCTTCAACTGAATATCTCTATTTGTTTTGTTGCTGGTTTTCTAATGGTATGACCTGTTTTAGAAGTAACCTATTCTTCTCTGTTGAAGCAGATTTTTCGGAAGTATTCAACACCCATTTTGGGACCAGATTTTCAGAGAGATTTGGTCTCCTTAGTAGAACAAAAAAACTTTGAAAATCTGTGCTGAACCTTCTTAACATTCTTTTGCAAAAACCAGCAAGAGCTGGATGCTGAACGCTTTGTAAACCAATTATTTAATTTTAGCAGCATGAGTTTAAGTTATTCCTTTGCTGTGAAATTAGTGCATTTGCTGGGTGATCATAGTGGCTTATGAAGAAGAGAGATGTGAGCACTTGATACTGTATTAACTTCTCTTGCAACTGGGAATGGTATGCGCTGCATTCTTCCTAAAGGGCTTTGGCACAGTGGCAGTGTGGGCGTACGGCTCCGGAATGGGGATTTCTAGAGAGAATGATCTTAGGGTGCTACTTGGGAATTTTAATGTAATGGAAAGTGGTTGTGTTTAGATGAGAGCATTTCACCCAAACACATGTATTTATGGTCTGTATTAAAGATGACCACCAAAAGAATTTATCTTTTCAAAGAAAGACCAAACTGATTTGAGAAAGTTTTACTATAATTCAGGCTACCTACTAGTTCAAGTTTTTGTCATCTGAAGTTTTTAAGGAAGCTTTTTGTTTAGATATCCCAGAAAAGATAACTAGCAGTAAATAATTCATCTCTTCCAAGCTCCTCTGCTGTGCTTAGCAGCATGCACCTGGTTCCATGCAGTAGGTGACAGCAGAAATACTGCTGCTAACATCAATACTTTCATATCTATTCAAATAGGTGGTGAGATAATTCTGCAGACATACTTGCTTTTAGTAAAAGTATGAGCAAACCAACCTGATACATTTGAATTAAGTGAACAGTAAATTATTGCATAGTTCTATAAATGAAATTCTTCTTATGCTCCTTCCCATGATTCTATTTAAAAACAAGTAGTTTGTGTAGAGTTTTTTTGAGGTGCTTGTCCTTCTTCCACTGCCCCTTCTTCCTGATCTCCTCATGTACGTTGTTTCACACTGGAACACAGGGGTCTTTGATAGCATCTTTTGATGCTCTTTCAATGTTCTTCGGTAATAGGTTTTCTTTCTTTAGTTGCTTGTTATTGAAACAGTATTGTCAAGACAAAACCACATTCACCAAAGCTTTTCCTCTCAGTTATTTCTATTAGTACATGATTTTTTTCTAATTAAAATTAAAAAAATAATTTATAGCTTAGATCAATTTAATTTTGTTCTTGACACATTCCCAGAAATGGAGGATGACCTAGACAATATTTTTAGCTTGTGATGTCCTTGAATTTCTGTTTTGAAGCATCAGACAATGTATTTTTGGGATTGAGGGATTTTTTTTTAATGTTATCAGCAAAATCAATCAAGTTAAAAAAGGGAAAACTATTTAGTTTTTAGAGATATGTCTACCTCCACTATATAATATGTAAAATATGGCTGGTTTATTCTGTGAGATGTATCTAAAAGGCAAACCATAAAATTGGTTCTAAACTTGGATGTAAGTCTACATTTAGACTTCCCTGTCCTCTTTAGTTATGAAAAAAAAATAATTCTTTGGTTTTACATGAAAAATGTCGTACAACGAAAGAAATTTTTTTTTTAAATCAAAATTGTCATGGATGATGACTGCATTTAGAATAAGATTTCATCTCATTTCAGTGCTTTGCTTATAACATTTCTTACTCTTTGTCTCTTAAAATGATAATCTAACCTACGTGTGTTAAAATAAATTGGAATTTCTGTACTGATTTAATTCACTAAATTGAAGCTAGAAAATTGCTCTCAACAAAGCACAGTTCCACAAACAGTTTTCATGGTGTTCTGATGTGTATTTGCGTCTGCTTTAAGAAGCTTCCATAAACTAAAGGGTATTACTTAGAAGATAAAAATGCTGGGTTTGTAAATAGTGGGAAAAGTAAAGATGTCTTTACAGACTGTAAGCATTAAGCTGGGTTGATAGATGGAGAGATGGACAGAAAGGCAGTGCTTTGACATTTCAAAGCAAACAAGTTTCTGAGAGAAACCTGTAGGTATTCCATCTTTTCTGATACTAAGGGGTAAAGGTACATTCTCATTACAGTTCTTCTTCATCTTCATTAAAAACTAATCCCTACTAAGTAACTGGTTTGGGTCAGTCCTTTGAAAGATGACTAAGAATGGACTAACTCTGTTAAAAAGAAGCTCTCTTGAAAAATTGATGCTATTGCTCCCCCTTCTTTTTTATTGTATCTTCTGCTCATGACACAAATTTTTGCTGGCCTTCCATTCAAGGTAACTGAAGGCTTCACAGTTCCCTAGGATAAGATTAGAGTATCTTACTGTTTGTTTGTAGTTATGTGAATTTATTGCTATTTTTGTGAAGAAGGGATAAATTATTTTTTCTTTTGCCCATCTTTTCTTTCTTTTTCAGATCGGTCAGGTGAAACAGGAGCTGTCACGCAAAGACACGGAGCTGCTGGCCTTGCAGACAAAGCTGGAGACCCTCACAAATCAGTTCTCTGACAGCAAGCAGCATATTGAAGTTCTGAAAGAGTCTCTTACAGCTAAAGAGCAAAGAGCTGCCATCCTGCAGACAGAGGTGAAATGGGCAATTCTGTACTTATTGACTTTTCACAGAGAAAGAGATAAAAAGGATTATTTTGTTTCTTCCTGCTTTGGTTGTACAATCCCATAGCCATTCAATACTACTTGTTCTGAGCATATTGTATTTTCTATTATGTTTGATTCTCCAGGCCAGGTCTTTGATCTCAGAGACAACTCTGTGTGTATAAACACGCATCTATTCCTCTGATAAATGCACAGTTGTACAACATGCACCACTAACATGCAATCACTAATATTATTTTTCCTAGACACAGCTAAATTGGAAGTTGCAATGTCTGAGCTGTGGGGATTTATTTTCAATGACCTTGTAGCTAAAAGAGAGCAAAGAAAGGAAGAACGTTCTGGTAGTTTACAGCTCACTGAGGCTTCACTACCACTGTCAGCATGTACAGGACCTCTTGCATGTAAGCCTATGCTTACACCTGAAATATGGGCTCTCATGTTTTATGGTGCATATTCCAGGATAAAGGATAAAAATTTTCAAAACTGTGTTTCAATAACAAATGCTTAATAAAATCCCATTTTATTAAAGACACGTATATAGCTGAACATCAAATGGATAATAAGTATAGCATAAATTTATTGTTTCTGGACGTTCTTGAATAACAAACAAACATGAAATGTGTGAATACAGCATTTCATCCTTTGGCTTGGGAAACTGTAGTGTTAGTGGAAGTCCAAAAGATGGCGGTCATGCATCAGAAAATTATTGTGTTGTTACACCTAAAACAGTAAAAAGCCAAAGGAGCTGGGGAATGGGCATGCAGAAAATTTCTGGGTAACACTAGTAGAAAGATTCCATATTACAAGAGTGTAAGAGAATTTATTTGCACTTTTTACCATCATGTAGCTTTCCTTTAGCCATGTTCAGTGAATCTATGGGTGCACTTGGCCTTGTCCACATGCAGAAGTCAAGTTACATACTAAATACCTTTTGATGTTTTAAGATGGGTTTTCTGATTATTCTCCAATTTATATAGAAATTGAAGTCACAATGGTCAATGTAACTGTGAAAGTATGCTAGCTTACAATCAAAAACTTGTTAAATTTATGTTTTTGTTTTTGCTAGTCAGGAATGTGTGTTTGATTCATGCATGTTTGTTTTAGAAATATTTACATTTCAAAATATCACTGGAAGTATTAGGTAAATAAACATTTTGAAATGTAAATTGCAGGGTTTGATCCATTACAGTGATTGAAAAGAATATAGATATATGAAATCACTGTGCAGTAATGTGACAGATCGACAAAGCTAGAAACACATTTAAATATTGACTTTTAAATAATAAAAAATTGTATTTTTCTGCTCATGAGAGATGAAGTTCTTGGAAGAATGTACTTTATTAACAAGTTCAGTAGATGGTCATAATTTCTGCTGTTAGCATAGGTAAACATTTATTCAAATAAGATGTATGGAATTTAAACATAATACTTAAAACCGAAAAGATCTGGTTATATACCATTGACAGATACTCTTGATAGTTATTCAGAACATTTTGATTTTATTTTAGCTGAAGGCCAAAGTAGTTTTTTAACAATATATAAAATTATTCTAAAGTCTTGTAATATTACTAAGTAATAATTGAGAGTGTTTGTTCTTCACTGTGTTCTTCCAAATGAGATCCTCATATAGCACCACAGTACAAAACTCAATTAGATTCTTTTTATAAGACATGCAAACTCTTTTCCTTTACTAATAAAGAGTGGCTGAAAGGTGGGGGGTAGGGGAAAAGAGAGGGTGAGAGTCTCTACTTACCCTTTTTAGGTTATTCATGTCGTTTGCTTCCAGATTGCATAAGTGAAATGTACCAACTGCAGTAACAGTGAAAGATGATTTTCTTTCTGTCTGTCTTTCAGTAAGGAGTTGCTGTAGAGCTAAAACATAAAGAATAGTGTTTTAGAGTGATATTTTCACAAAAAAGTTAATGGATTCAATACAGTCTAGCATGTTCTCCACATTAAAATGTATCAATCTGGTATGGATTCAACACGTGCAAAATGTTGTTGATTATCAGTCTATTCCATTGTATAAGAGTACATATTTAGAATGATCCATTTATGTTTCTGAGACTTTTTATGTAATTACAAGAAGATATTTATGCTTTTTGAAAGGTAATAACTTTTTCATCCTTGCTGATATTCTTGACAGAAAACTCAACAATTAAATCATCATACACAGTCACAAGTGATCCTCTCAAGTATAAGACTGAAACAAGTTGGTAAAATACATCATTGACATGTTTGTCATTGCATTCTGTGATGTGTTTGGGGTTTTTTTAAGGAAAATATGTCTTCCTGTACAAGAATTTTCACTGGGAGTAGGGTAGGAATGCAAGATCCTGCCTGGCCTAACTTCTTGACAGCCCTGCTCAATGTTAAAACATAACTAGCTTTGCTCAAGACACTTACAGACAGTTGTGAGGAGGAAGAGGGGTGCATCTTCTGTCATACATATTGGCAGACGTCTTCATAGGAGATGTGGTATTTCAAAGCCATATTTAAATAAACATTTAGAGAGAAAAGACAATACCTTTATAAGCCGCTGCCTTTTTATTCTTCTGTTAAAGAAAATGGCAGGTAGATGGCGAAAAGATACTATACCAACATCTCAAAAAAGGATTTGCCACCTGCCACATTAGAACTACAAAGAAATGTTTGTCAGGTGTTTATCTTGAGGGCTCTTGGTGGGTGGAGAGTATATTGTGGTTAGCTTTTCAAGTTGTGAAGGAACCTTTAAAAATAGCTCTAAAAGTGTACAATCTTGTTGTAAACAAAACAAAAAATAAATCAATATTTATTTTGGAATTAAGGCTTCCGTATAAAGTTTGTGTTTAGCCCAATAAGCCCTTTAGCTTAGGTCAGTGGCAGAAGGTATGTGGCTTCAGTGGGAGGTTGAATTCAGTGAGAACATTCCCCTTTATTTTTGTGTACTGCCCAAGCTGACATGGTTCTGTAATTAGTCTGCTCCATACACAGTAGAAAAATTAGTCCTTTGGAAGTATTTTATTTGCTCTGAATGCATTAGTATAATATAAAATTCTCTAAGGGTCTTTTTTTTTATCGGGAGCTTATACTGGCATTTTGAAACTATAGCAGACTCTCCCAAATCGGAGATGTTAGAGGGAGGATAACATTTAGTGAGCAACATGCAAATGGGATCTGAGTGTCTCTAATGAACTTTCTAGCACCAGCTACATGAAGACCTGTGCTGACACCTGCAGACATTAAGCTCAGGTCACAGAACTGAGTTCACTGTGTTTAGGTATTTAATACTTTGCGGTGGAGATTGTGGAAGAAGGATTGAATTGGTTTTTGAGCTGAGCAGGCCCTGGAAGCAGTCCATCTGCCCTGCATTGAATTTATAACCCTAGCATGAAGCAAATGGGCTCAGCACAAAGCCAGGTGTGTGCACTTCTCCATGGTATAGTCGTGTAATCTAAGTTCTCAACATAACCAGGAGCTGTATGTTCATAGAGAATTCACTCTCAGTTCTTCTACAGACTGTACTGAATATTGCTGTAGTTTGTGTAAGGTGAAGAGTCAAATCTGACATAATTAATAAGAAATAACAATGTCAAAAATAGAGAAGTCTTGTGAATTAGCACAGTGTTCAAAATCAGTCAGTAAGCATGGCTTTTAAGTCTCGGCTACAGACTGTACTATCAGGAAAACAGCTTAACTCCTTTTTGTGTTTATGTGATATGTTTGAAGATAGTAGTTATGTTAGTTATAAAATCGATTCTTTTTAGAATGTATTTATTTGAGGTACTTGGAGAATTCAGATAGCAATATCTACAGTGGGATAAAAGCAACTTTCACCTCACATATCAAATATTGTTTTATGTCTTCTCTTGTGTTTCTCAAGTATTTTTTAATTCCTAGTGCTGATATAGATAGAATTAGTTCAAGGTCGATTTTAAAAGGTAGCTGCCTCTTGTTAGAAATCATAGCAAGCTCTAAACACGTATTTCAGAATTGACAATCTGTTCCTTTGGCTGCCATTAATGTAGTCATACTGACAGAGAACAAGAATTTTGAATTTTGCGATTACAGAGAAGTTGGGGCTTGGATATAACTTAGGGGAGGTTGTACATTCTGATATAACTCAATGGAGTGTGGCTTGGGTTCATTGAGCTAAATCAATAGTTCAGCTGTGGTTTGAACAGGTGGCAAGTAGGTGTGAAGAATCAGTCTTAAGGAAAGAGTAGAGCACTGTTTTTTTATTTTAGGCTTCAATGACATCTTCCTAATCCTGAGTGGGAATCCCCAGTGTCATACCACCCTGGTTGCTATTGTACAGTGGAAATAATAGTAAAAATGAGAAAAAAACGTGTGAAACATAGGTCCTGTTAACTCAAGCTCTTGAATTGGCTCTAAAACTCGCTCTGGACATTTGAATATTTTAGCAATTTCCCTAAGCTACAAACTGGGAATATTCCGAAAGCTAAGACTGTAATTACAGAATCCAAGATTTTTAAAAAGGCTTAAGAGTAAATTTGAATTAAATACTATGTAATTTATTATGTTTATTCTGGTAGTCTTGGAGTACTAATGGAATAGTTTTTCTTAGAAATTTTGAATTCTACATGCTTAATGTGTGGCTATACATGTTAGAGTCATAGAATATTATTTACTGCTACTGGAAAATTCTGTGAAGGCAAATCAATGGTTCCCGACACAGTTTTTGCTATATCGTTCTTATAATGAAGAACTGTAATTATAAGTGTAAGAAATGTGTGGTATCCAGTTGAACAGAGGTAGCTGCTGTACCTGTACCTAGGAAGACTGTTGTGTTGAAGGTGGCAATGAATGTGTTTATTTTGCTAAACTTCACGGGAAATTGGATGTTACATGCAGGTCAAGTTAGCAAGCCCAGTGTTACATGAAGGGCAAGCAGTTGCCTGAGCTGTACTGTAAGATTTTACTTGCCGTGCATAATTAAAGACATGGCAGTCTATTGCTGCAAAAGCACTTGGGTTAACCCAGGGTTAAGACGACAGTATCCAAGAGGCAGAAGTCAGGAGAAGGGGCGTCAGCACGTCAGTAGCTGTTTGCCTAGTCGTTTCCATGTGCAGAGAAAATCTTAAGCTGACTTTGTTGAAGTTGGCATCACCTGACTCCCACAGACCTCAATTCTTGTCACTGTGGGAGGATGTCATACATAAACTGAGCTGACATGAATAAACAAGTGCAGTGTTCTGCCAGGAATAGTGCTAAGGTGACGTTTGTGTGTCCTGCCAGCCTTTGAAATTACTCTTGAAAATGTTTTCTATGGTTTCCCAGGCAGGGACCTCACACAAATAAAACCAGGAATGCAATTTGCCCCAAACCGTAAGCTAATATAGAGTTCAAACAGAATAATCAATCAGAAAATGGAAAGCATTCTGTGGATAAATTTCTGTTTGCAGATGTTCTCTTTTCACTTAATACTGTGCTGTGGGCATCTGGACTGTCTCAAATATTTTGCAACACAACTGTTGAAAGTATGTGGATTTTCTTGTGTGGGAGATTTTCAGTGTCCCTTCAAGAATTAATAAAAGTGACTTTTGACTTTAATATTAGAGATATCCAGAAGAGAACATACCTACTCAATCTATAAAACCGCATGTTTTAAAAAAGAAGACAAATCCTGATCCACCTGCTAAACATTTCATTACAAATACTAAGAGTACTATAAATCCTATTTGGATAGTACCTGGTACTCTAATATCACTGCAGAATATAGTCCGTGCCCCACTTGCTGGGTGAGAGGTCAGGAATGTGATTTTAATAACGCATGTGTAAGTGAGAAGGCTTCAGACGTAGAGGTGGCAGCAGGATTGCAGTGCTGATGAGGAGAGCAGGGCAGTTCTTTTCCCCACTGGCAAGTGCTTATTGCACTGTGTGTAGAAACAAACCAGACAAAGCAGCAGAGGATTTTGTGCATGTAACATTCTGTAAATGTAGAGCTTTAGAGGCAACTTTTCCATTAGCAAATCAAAACAAAGTGGAATAGAAGTAACACATTAGAACTAAATATTGCTCTAAATACCATGAGCGTATTGATTACCTAAACTAGCCAGAGTTCTCCAAGTCATCTTTTCATTTCATGACTCTGCTAGCCTATGCTGGGCAGAAGGACCAAGAAATTCATTGATCACCCTGTTTACTCTGTGTGATTGATGTCCTGTAATGGATTCAGGTAACAGGAACCAAAACTGATACTGTCAAATAAGATCAGCAGCCAAGCTGGCAGATTTGAGCTCTGTCTGAATGCTGAGTGGATAGGGGTCAGTGGGTTTCTTTTGGTGTCTTGAGCAGGTTGGTGGTGTTGGATTTCGTATTCCACAATGGTCTTTGAGATTAGTCTGTGCTCTGTGGTGACCTTATTCTTCTCGTCAAATTTATATTCAGATAGCTCTGATTCCTGCTCCCTTTTCTTTTGTCTTGTGAGCTCTGTGTTTCATTTGTGTAAGAGAAATGCAGAAGGAAAAGCAGAAGCTTCTTAACATACGGCTTTGAAGCTTGAGGATAACGTAGAAATCCAAGAGTGTGTTTCTAAATTTAATGGGGCCGTGGGGGCTCTAAGTATGTTTGTGTCCAAATTGCATCCACAATATCTTGTACTGTGTCATTTGTTCCATTTTATCTTTAATATAAACTGCTTTGTGTTGAAAATGCATGTTGCACTTAAACTATTATGTTGTTATTTAAGCCAAAATATTCTTAGCCTTTCTAAGGTAACCCTCTTCCCTTGGTTTGATCTACAGTGGCTGCAAAGACCTCTGCTTTCAGTACCACCAGGCTCAGCTAATACTCTGATTAAAACCTAGAATATAAAGTGACTGTTGGTACTAACAGTCAATATTTAAATCTCTGAATGTTGGTAACGTTCCAAAGAAAGGGGTCAGTTTTTCTACATAGGAGAGAACTTCTCAACAACATATTGTGTTAGCTTCTACTTTTAGGAAAAAAATTTCAGACTCTTATCTTACACGACTGAGTTATGTATGATTTGAGATTTTCCCAAAAGGAGGATTAGTCTTATATAATTTGAGAATAAAAAATTTTTACTGTTTAGTCTCCTACCACTTGTGATAATGTTTTATCACAGATTTATGTATGTTGAAGTCTTAATGTAAAGGATGTTAGTTTTCTGAATCTGTCTGTAACTTGAGAGCACTCAGTCCCTTGTGGAAGTGTAACTGTTCGGAAATTTCTCTCCTTCAGTGGTAAACAAACCCTGTTTCTGCATGTCTAAATCCAGGTGGATGCATTACGGTTACGTCTGGAAGAGAAGGAGACTATGCTAAATAAGAAGACAAAGCAAATTCAGGAGATGGCAGAGGAGAAGGGGACTCAAGCAGGAGAGATCCATGACCTCAAGGACATGTTAGAAGTGAAGGAACGCAAAGTTAATGTTCTTCAGAAGAAGGTAAGATTGCAGAGGTCTGTCAGATACATGTCTCTAATGCATCTTGATTTCTTAAGTCTGTTAAAAAGTCTGAACTGGAATTTACATTTTGGCAATTAATGATTGAGCCCATTCTTGTAACGGGAAGACAGTGAATGGTGATTTTCAGTTTACAATTTTGAAGAAAAAAATAGAATTCAGAGCAGAGGTTACTGCCTTTCAGTGGTTGCATGTGCCGCTTCTGCTTCCATTTCACTATTAGCAATGACTGAAGTATTTGTAGGAGGGCACATCATCTGGAAACACAATCCTTTCACAGTCATCACAGAGCCATGCTGATTTGAAGCGTAGGGAATGGGGTGACTGTGACTTCAGTATGTGATTAAATGAATGAGGGCTTGGAGCAGCTGAAGCAATTAGGATATTTCTGTAACTTACTAAGAAAAATTCAGTAAGAACTTTCTATAACTTTGATTAGAAATGATATTTTATCATACTCAATATTTCTTGGGAACTGCTAGAACAGGATAATCAGGGTTCAGACTATCCTGCATCTCTTTCTGGATAGAACATCAAGACCCTATCAGTGAAAAGGGGGAGGTCTGGATGGGAGAACCAGACCCAGTCAGAGAAATCAGAGAGGTTTCCCAAAGGGCATTGAGTCCTAGGGTGATGAATGTCATTATGGTTGATTGCAAACTGCACAGAATATATCCCAAATTGCTGTTACATATGGTGAAAAGCAAGAAATTAATGTGTCACAATAAATTTTGATTTAGACAATATTTTTTCCTTTGTATCTTTAGAGAAGCTGCTCTTGGAGCTTGTGTTCAATGTATTAGGCCGTGAATGTGTGGGGGAGGTAAAGGGGGTCGTTTCTAGAACTTTAATCAATTCTTTGTCATTCTTGTGATTTTAATGGTTCAGAATATTGATTCATTTCAGATGCCTGGCCAATGCCTTTTCTTTTAGCATATAGCTATGAATCATGAGGGTTTAGGTCATGTTCAATTCTGGTGCAGCAAACATCATGCAGGAATGGAAGTTCAGGCATGGAATTTAGCCATAAATAAGTCATTAATAATTCTAGAACAGAGCCCCAATTCCCATTCTTCATAATCTCATTTTTGGACTGTTCATCTTTTTAGAAACACAGATTTCTAATTTTTGTGCTGTGCTTTCTTTTTGTTTTCAAAATTGGTCATGCACACTCCAAACATTGATTCAGATACAAGAGGAATGTTTAACCAAGAAGTGGGGAATCTGACATTTGTGTAAATGTTAAATGTCAATGAGGATGTTTTACTTCCATTTACTCATACACTGTTGTTTTTTCATGTTTTCTTATTAGCTCTACTTAACTCTTTAGAATGATCTTTCATTGGTTCATTTATAGGCAGTGCTATATGTTCTCTTTTTACTTGTTTTTTTAAAACTTGTTTTCTTGAGACCATCTTAAGCCACGTTAAGACAGTTTCATCTTGTCTCTTCATGCGGCTACTGTATTTTTTGAGGTTCATTTGCTGCTGATTTCCAGTAAAGTACCTGGTCTTTTCAGGTTGGAAAATAAGAGCCCCGGCTTTTAGATGTTTTAAAGGTGTTGAGGTCTTAATCTGCTAGATAGCTCAAAAGAGGATAACACTACCATAATAAACTGCAATTTAAGTTGTTTTCTAAGCCTATCTCTGAGCTTCTTAAAAAAAAAGTAACCTGTCTGAAGAAAAATACCTATTTCCTGCTGCTAACTAAAATCACTTTTAGATATTTGAATATGCTTCAACCTTGAAGCTGTTAGAAGCATTTCCTTTAACAAGAACAGTTAAATTGTGAGATTTTTGATTCCAAAGATTATTTTTTGAGTTTCTGTAACTACCAATCCTATAATATTTTTATGGAGAATAAAGCTGACAATACTTTTATCTGAGATTTGTGGTGCAATATGGAATTTGTTTATATTTTTTTTGTGTAGTCTGGAGTGATTGAGCACAAATACAGTCCTTGAAAGTTTTAAGATTGATGTCTTCAATGGATTTTTTTAATTGGTTCTCCAGACCTGGAATGTAAGACTAGGTTTGGGTTTTCCAATAGATTTGGCTTAGAATTTTCTTGTTCTCTTTAGCATTTTCCACAGAAAAGCAAAGCATGAGAAAATACCTATGGAAGGACAGGTCTGATTTTCTCTATATATTGTAGAAATCATGAGAACTTGCATAAAATCTGTTTTAGGTGGTAAAGAAAATGATGAAGTCTCATTTTTATCTGATATATATGCCTATCTTTTTTTGACTATGCCGATAGCTATTTCTGCCTGGAGCTTTGGAAGCCTGTAGCTCCTCTCATTTAAATGTTTTCCTCTTAAAGTTTGTAAACGGTGACTTACATTTTCTTTTTTGCATTTCTAGAGTGCATCTTTTTAAAGCAAAAAACAGGCTGTGTACTTTATCCACATGCTGTCTTTCAGACCTTCCAGAAGAGTTCAGAATTGTATTGTCATTAAAAGAAAATGTGCAGCCTTAAAACTTTTGCCTCCAGGCACAATACTCTTTTTTTTTTCTCCCTTTGATTATAACTGGTATGTTCAGACAGATCAGTTTTTAATCTGTATATTCAAATTGAAAATATAGATGGTAGAGTTTGAAGTATTTCAGAGATCATAGATAGTATGGTTTTCTTTTTTTACTGTCTTAGCTATCTGATATTAAATACATGTTTTAAGTTTATCAGCATAATTTAAGTGGTACTTGGGCATTTTAATTGAATACAGTGAAAGACTATGAAAGACATGGCACGAAGAAAAGCTTTTCCTCTTGTGTATTACATTAAGAAATGTTTTTCTAAGACTATGTGGAAACAGCAGCGTGTAGCTGTTGCCTGCAATTGTGAGGAGGTTATTGGGTACAGGTGTTGAGATGCTGAAGGATGTTAACCAAATTAAGAATTCAATTAGTAGATAGTGTTCAATCAGTTATTACCAAGTTCCCTTTCCTCAGAACATACTCAGATTTGAGGGTATTTTTGAGGTGGGTAATATAATGAACTAAAGTTTGAACACTAATTATTTTTTAATGCTAGATAAAAAGAAAATTTGCAGTAAAAGCTAAAATCATAACGAAGTTGAAAAGAAAATAATTTATTGAAAAATTATTAACTTATGTAACTTATCTATTTAGGAAAAGTTGTTTACTTTCTTCTGAAATTTAGAGATCACCTCTACTAGTAATGTAGCCATAGCCAAATGATATATGACTATTCGGGGCATTTGGACTTCTGTCATAATTTTATTTATTTTCTCTGACTGTTTTAGATGTGAAATCACCTATTCTGATAATACTGACAAGAAATTGTTTGGTGTGCGGCCCAAAATTGTGCTGTACTAAATTTCTGCAATTTCTCTTGTTGGAACAAAAATGATTTAAAATGCACCCGTTATTGTCATGTCTCTGTTTGGATTCATTGATGTAGGCCACTGCATAGTTAGTTTCATGAACTATTAATATATTTGTTGTACTGATTAAAGGTGGTGAACTAGACACTATACTTTTCTGGTCATTCTAAAATCCAGATGAAGAAAGTAATAAAAGTTTACTGGATAATTAGAGATTCAGTACAATACACAGAAGATTATAAGCAACAAAGATCTGAAAAAGTAACAATTGTCATCACGACTGATACCCAGCAGGTATCAAAATACATTTTCCAGGTTGCTGAGGAAACCACATGCTTCACATTTTAAGTTGTGGAATCTGTTCAGTTCTAAGCTCCTGCAGTGGTGCTGCTTGGTAGAACCTTTATTTGAGACAATAGAAACAGGGAAAATGCTAGTAAATTGGAGACTACAGGAACAAAGTTGAGTCTTATGTCTGAAAATGTAATGCAGAAACTGAGTTTTATAGAGCTTCAGGATTTTTTTTCTCATTTTATTGAAAATAAATCCTGCATAGAATCTCATTTTAAGTTGATAGAACTCTAGGTAAGGGGAGTATATCAGAAAATAAAATAGTGACATGCTGTGCAACTTTGAAGTCTGAACCTGAAAAACATAAAAATGTGCTTCATTATTCTCTTTGCCACATCTGTCCATCTGTGCTGGTAGACCAGGATGAAAAGGAAGAGGGTGGGGGGAAAAATACCAATACTTTACAATCAAAGCATTTTCAAGAAATAGCATTTAGAACAAAAGATAACTGGCAGTTGCCCTGAAAGAAAGGAGGGAGGAGGGAGGGAGGGAAAGGCAAAAAGCAGTGAATCAATTCCCCCTTGCTTTGGGGGGAGTCCATGTTTTGTCTTGGGGTGGGGGATTAACACTCCCTTCATTGTGCAATGCAGCTGCAGGCAAATCAAATGCAAGTTTTAGTGTCTGAACATAGCAGTGTTTTTTGACAGCTCCCCATGCACTATGTGATAATTGACTTGTGATAAGTAAAGGGCGAATACAGATTTGTTTGGTTTGGTTCTGGTTTTGGTTTTTTGTTTGGTTTTGTGGCTGTGCTGACTTGTTTAGCTAGTATTCGGGAAGACTCCAAATATAATTTTCCTGCCCTTCTGGATAAGAAGCATGACCTTTCTTCAGAGGAAGTAAATGCACTCTGCTTTTCAGAAAGCTTAGAAATGAAAATAAATGTCTTAGCCTTAATGGTAAGAAATACTTCATGAACATTTAAGGATCATATGGGTCTGCTCATCGGCCCAGCTTCTGCTAGGAGGTAGAAGGAAGATATGCTGGGCTTTCTACTCAGCTAGGACTGATGAAGTAGTAGACAGATGAACTCTGTAGCTTAACAAGCAGTGCAAAATAGGAAAGTATTTCTATAAATCTCTTTCTCTGTCAGAAGAAGCCATACTTCTACTCATTTTACTCCAGGTCTCAAGGCATGCCACTGGATTGGTTCCAAACCCAATCCAGACATTTCAAACACCAGAAGAAAGACCTAGCATCCCCACAGGCTTGTGCTATCTTCCTTATTAGAACTGACAGACACGACCTCAAAGATTTGTCCTGGAGGGTCATGTTGACTTGTCCT